GTGCTTGGTCTATGAACATCATAGTAAGTCAAAGGGAATTTACTTCATAGTAACAGTGCCTCAAAATTTTATTTGGGATATGAATTTGAATTTGTTTCTCTCATTAGATATCACTAGCTTTTGTGTTCAGAGAAAGTGTGTTCAGCCAAGTGGGAATGAAGGAAAGAAGTCTGTTGCTTTCTGGGAGGGAGCTCAGGACACTTGATGAATTGGAGCACTCTCAAAAGATGTGCTTCAGCATCTTAGAGGTGTTTGCCAAAAGGGATGTGAGGATGAAACACCCAGCTGCAAGCACAGCAATATCTTCAAATAAAGCCTAAGTCATAGTTCAACTATGTATAGACAGTAACTCTATTTCTAGATGGGCAAATGCTCCTGCAAACTGTTCTCCAAAACAGCATTTCAGTTACAGAAAATATGAATTAAAAATCCACTAGCAAAGCCATCCTGTTTTTGAGGAAAGGCACTAACTTCATATTGCAAGGAACAATTTTCTATGTTGTTCTGTAATGTTCTAATGTCCTGTTTTGTAAATAAATCTATGAAATCTAGTGGAATGCATGACAGGAAACAAGTTTTGGGGATTTTCTCAAACACCAGAAAAGTGGTATTAGAAGAGTAGTAGCACACAGCATGAACAATTGCATGGCTCAATGAATGAGGCTTTGTTCAATCTTAGAAAACTGAATTTTACTCTCATTTTTCAAAAGTGGTCTTGTATAATCTTTCTGTTTCACTCAGTTTCCAGATATGACAAGTTGTTGACTCCTTCAATCAGCAATATGAAGTCTAAGACTTCTAGAGACTGTCAAGCAATACTAAATGTGTTCACTAGGAAGATACAAGTCCATGATATCCTGGTCAGGCAGATCTTTCTCTAGACATAAATGTACTGTATCTGCTGTGCTAAAATGTAGGAGAGTTGGTTTGACAGGATTTCCTTTTCAAAAAAGTGCTGTAAAAACATTTTGCACCTACACTTGCTGTCTTGCACAATGTTTGATGTTGAAAAATTATGGTATCTGGACTGTGAGTGAGCCTCCTAATACTGGATTTCCACTGCAGAAAACTGGGGTTTGCTTTATGAGCTCAAGTAGAAGACAACCCCTGTGTGTCTATTTGTGCACACATCTGGTTTTGGAAGAAAAAATGTCCTGGAATATAAGCCAATAGCTCTGTGTTTGAGGCCAGATGAAATATATGTATGCACATCCACATGGGTGTATAGAGGTGCATATAGACAGGAACCAACAATGGGCTTTCAGATGGCTGCTGCTCGTTAGGGATGTTTTTTCCCTTTGTCCTCTGTGATGCTGATGCTCCAGGGCTCCGTGAGATATTTGCAGCTCTGAATCCAAATCCAGTTCCTTCTAGTGTGAAGTCTTTGCCTGGCACTGCTTCCAGTCAGTCACAGTACTTGGGGCTGTGGCAGTAGAAGACTCAGAGGGTGAGCTTTACATGAGGAATCCCCTAGCAGCACCCAGAGGGCACTGCCCCTGTGTAGGACTTGCAGAAGGTA